CACGTCCCGGGACACTGGCAAACGCGTGTGCGGTGCGTGCTGAGACCCCGCCCCACGTCCCGGGACACTGGCAAACGCGTGTGCGGTGCGTGCTGTGACCCCGCACCATGTCTGAGGCTTCTGCTGTCAACAGCTGCTTTCCTGGCTGTCCCACTTGCACTGACCTGTTTTCCGGCCCATCTGTGGTCTTGGCAGTGTCCGCTGTCTTATAGCTGCCAGAACTATAAATTAGGGAGCTTGGAGCCCGAGGGGAATAGATGGGGTGTGTGCATATTGCTGCTTGGGAGGAGGTTCAGTGATGTCCTGTTCATCTGTCTATTCTAAGCTCCACTTTTCTCCCAGATTCATGCAGCTCCCATATTCTATAGTTGTTGAAGCAGGTTGCAGTAGTAGTAAGTAGTTCTACTCATCCTAAGTAGATTTCCAACCAAGTGACTCTCATTTCAAGACAATGGCTTATAAGTACTTAAATGCCATGTTGTGCTTACAAAGCAATTTGTATTTCTGGTACTTAAATTTCCAATACAGATCTATTTTAGGTATTTGTAATATGGGTATAATGTAGCTAAAATGGGTATGCTTGCCTATTTTTAAATTGAAACTGTAATTTGGTTTTAAGGTTACCTGAACATGGAAGGCAGACCTTCAATTTGGGTTGGTAAATGTGTTTTTTTTTTATTTTAGTTTATCAAGTTTGTTTGTTTGTGTATTTATAGGAGGGTATCACTATGTTTCCCAGACTGGATTACATAAGTATTCATAGGGGCGATCATAGTGCACTGTAGCCTCACACGCTTGGCCTCAAGTGATCCTTCTGCCTCAGCATTCTGAGTAGCCAGACTACAGAGACCTGCCACCGTGCCCAGCTCTTGGGTTTGTTGTGGGTTTTTTTTTTTTTTTTTCTGAGACAGAATCTCACTTTGTCGCCCTTGGTAGAGTGCTGTTGTGTCACAGCTCACAGCAACCTCAAACTCTTGGGCTTTCTTGGGCTTTAGCGATTCTCTTGCCTCAGCCTCTCAAGTAGCTGGGACTATAGGCGGCCACCACAACACCTGTCTAGTTTTAAAGATGAGGTCTCGGTCTGGCTTAGGCTCATAGGATTACCAGATAAATATATCCCCAAAGAGACAAAGCATCCTCATAGAATATTGTGAAATAAAGATTAAAAGCAAGCATGATGTCACATGAGTGTGTGATGCCCCGGTACCCTCCCACACCCACCTACAGTGCCTTTGGATCCAAATGAGAGTTTCACATGCCTGTAATTCTGAGGTCTAATTCTGGAGTGGAAACTAAGCTGTGTGTTTCTCTTATTTTTATTTGTCCTAGAAGATAATAATATACAGTGGAAAAAATAATCTATAGTCCCTCTGTTCTACTCACCTAAGTATTTTCTTCTTTTTCAAGTCAGTTTTAGCACTGATAGCTATGTGCTGCTTTATCACTTACTTGGTAATCAGACAGTTCTATATGCTTGGCAGGGAGGTGAGAGCAGCACTTTCTAGTCTTTTGAGATGTGATGCTCTCTTGACATTGGGTGGTTTCGCTTGTAGATGTGTTACCTGGACTCCCTTCTTTGCTTGAACACATCAGCAATAACACTTCTCCAAGGTTTGTTTAACTTACATGCAGTAACGTGCACTCATTCTAAGTGCACAGTTCAGTGAGTTTGACGTGTGTGCACTGTATAGCTGGCTCTCATCCCAGGTATAGAATATTTCCATAATCTTCAAGTTTCTCTGCCCTTTCTCAGTGTCTAAAACACCTAGCCCTTGGCAGCCACTGATGTGCTTGTGTCACTTTCTAGTATTTCACATATGTGGAAATGTATAATAATAACTTTTTTATTTAACTCATTTTTTTTTTTGAGACAGAGTCTCATTTTATTGCCTTTGATAGAGTGCTGTGGAGTCATAGCTCACAGCAATCTCCAGCTGCTGGGCTTAGGTGATTCTCCTGCCTCAGCCTCCTGAGTAGCTGGGACTACAGGTGTCCACCACAACACCTGGCTATTTTTGGTTGCAGTTTGGCCGGGGCCCGGTTTGAACCCGCCACCCTCGGTATATGGGGCCGGTGCCCTACTCACTGAGCCACAGGCACTGCCCTTTTTGTTTAATTCTTAATCTGCTGACTCAGTGTCCAATATTTGCCTTTTATTTTAAATAATTCTTGAGAGTACAAAAGGATAAGGACTCCCCTTTATATTTTTCTCTCTTCATAGTTTTCTGATTATTTTGACTTATCTAGAGCCTAGGGAGACATTTTTATTAATTTAGTTTGGAGAACAGAAGAATGCTGGGAAACACCCCCAATTAAATTGGCTTTCTATATTTTTCAGGTTCAGATTTATGAGTGGGGATGAAAAGTTCTTTAACTTCTGTCCTATAGATTGCTTTTCCTTTTTTGCTATAAAAACAAGGCCTGTTCACACCCTTCAGATTGGCAGGAATGGAGATGTGACAGTGCTGGTGAGTCTGGAGCACCAGGCACCAGGACATGCTGTCCGGCGTGTCTGTCCTGTGTCTGGATCCCTGCAGGACAGCCTTGGGGTGGGCCACGTGCACGTGAGAGCGTTCACCTGCACATACTTGGAAACATTCAGAGTGCCTGTCCACAGGCAAACATGATGAATTATAGACCATTCATAAAATGAAATTGTATAGAGCCATTAAAAGAAATGAACTCTCCGGAATCATGTACCACGTAGCATTCAGCAGGGGAGAGTCTCACTGACGTCATGCGAATAAAAGAGGAAGACTATGCCTACAAATTGGTGTCCCTAAATTTTTAAGCAATGTAAGTGAATTCTGTGTGCTCTTTGGGATATGATGTACGCAGTGATGTATGAAGGAATGAGTGAGAATAAACACTAGAGTCAGGATAGGGGCTGCCTTTCGAGGGGCGCTGGGCTGGGAGGATGGAATACACACATAGGGCTTTGGTGTCAGTGTTTTATTTCTTTTTTTTTTCCTGAGACAGCCTCAAGCTGTCACCCTGGGTAGAGTGCCGTGGCTTCACAGCTCACAGCAACCTCCAACTCCTGGGCTCAAGCGAGTCTCCTGCCTCTGCCTCCCAAGTAGCTGGGACCACAGGCGCCCGCCACAATGCCAGGCAGGCTGTTTTTTGGTTGCAGCTGTCATCGTTGTTTGGCAGGCCCCAGCTGGATTCCAACCCAGCACCTTAGGTGTATGTGGCTGGCACCTTAGCTACTTGAGCCACAGGTGCTGAGCCAGTGTTTTATTTCTTAAATAGAGAGTGGATACACAGGTGTTCATTATATAAGTGTGGAAAAGGGAAAAAATAGTATTGTGGACTGGGCACAGTGTCTCATGCTTGTAATCTCAGTTCTTCGGGAGGCCAGGGAGAGAGGACCACTTGAGTGAGGCTGGTAGTTCAAAACCAGCTTAAGTAACATAGTGACACCCTGTCTCTAAAAAGAATGAAAAAAAGCAGCATGTTGTCTGGGGCAAATACTCTACATCAGAGGTCAGCAAACTTTTTTGTAAATGGCCAGATGGTAAATATCTTAGGCTTTGCAGAACTGTGCTGTCTCTGAGGGGTTTCTGCGGAGAACTGCTCAACTGCCGTGGTTACAGGAAAGCAGCCTCAGACAACGTGGAAGCAAATGAGTACAGCTGTGCCCCAATGTGACTTCAGGAAAACAGGCAGTGGGCCTGTGGGGCGTGGTTTGCTGACTTGTGCTCTGGATCAGTGGTTCTTAAAGCTGTTCTCCCACTCCTTCTCCGTCCTCCCTGTAACCTGTATCATGTCTCCAACTCTAATTGGTCATCACAGTTCACGAGACACCAAGAAGCTGGGAAACATAGTATTCCAGAGAGGTCTACATGGTGTGGGGTCATTTTCCTTTCCTGAAACCGCAGCTCTGATCTTTTTGACTTTTATCAGCCAGAATCATAACTGCCTGAGTCAGATACAGTTTTTTTAAGCCTTTCTTTTTCCTTTATCTGTTAACAAAACTTAAGTTTTCAAACTTGAATCCTAACAAACAGCTCTGCTTGGGAAGCCTTTATAGAATATTTTGGGGAGTTACAGTCACGTGGTTCCAGATGAAGCGTGTGTTTGGACGGTTTAGAAAGCAAAGAAGCCTCCTCTCACGGGCATTGCCTTTGGTCCTAGGACGATTACATGGAAGCCCTGGCCAGGCTGCACCTCACCGTGACCAGGGCCTACAAGGTGAACACCGACATCAACTTTGAGGTGTTTATTCATAAAGTCGATGGTTTGTCAGATGACCACAAAATTGAAACCCAAAGAGATATTCACCAGAGGGCAAACGATGACCTTGCTGATGCTGGATTAGAAAAAATTCACCTCAGGTGAGAAGAGAACCCCTTGGAGGTCCTAGTCAAGGACGGGGGGAAAGCGAGCCTGGGTTCCGGAATCAACACAGTTGTCTTGGTGTGGGCACTAATTTGCCTTGTTTACTCAGTTTTGTGCTGTAGACACTAGGATAGAATTTGGGGAAAAAGAGCTGTGCAAGTGTTCATTCTAATCTTCAGTGAAAGCAGGGGTTTAATGCCAAAGTTCTCTCCCATGTGAAAAATACATAACATAAAACGCATATAATTCAGGAAGTTAGTTGATGCTGAAGTTTACCATTCTCAACAAATATGTTTTTACCTATATGTAAAGGGGTCATCAGAAAACAATCCAAAGAAGCACAAAGAAAAACAACTTTGCTATCATTTTTTGTGGGGTAGTATATGCCTCATTCATTTTTCAAATTGGGAAATGGAAAAAAATCAAATGCCTCAATATCAATAATATAAACTGATCGGACACCCTAAGAGGCTACGTGCAGATGACCCATGGGGGTTCTCGGGCAGACTGTCAGGAGGCTGGTGTGGACGCTGCCTACTGCTGCCCTGCTAAGCCTGCTGGGCAGTGGGTGAGCAGATGTCCTGTTCTGGCTTTGTGGAAGGCCAGAGGAGTGGCTCGTTAAGACTGCCCTTGTATATTGAGGTCACTGTTATTCTGAGGGGCTGAGGCCTGTATGTTAGAACTGTAGATACAGAAGGCAGATTACTGGTCCTGTTTCTTCTTTCAGCTTTTATCTGACAAGCATATATGATCATTCAATATTTGAAGCTTTTAGCAAAGTGGTTCAGAAACTGATTCCACAACTCCCAACTCTGGAGAATTTGCTAAACATCTTTATCTCAGTAAGTAAATAATATGCTTCTGTTTGAGTAATTTGTAAAATTTGACAATAGCATCATAACAGTGAAAAAGATCTTATTTCTGCTTGCTCCCATAGCACTTCAAGGTCATTTAAGTATTACTTTTGAAGATTACACCTGCATATTGTTTTAATCATTTATTTATTTTTGAGATGGGGGTCTCTTATGTTGCCCAGGCCAAATTCAAACTCCTGGGCTCAAGCAATCCTGCCCCAGCCTCCCAAGTAGCTGGGACCACAGGTGCACACTGCTCCTAGGATTGTGTTAGAGCCTTTAAAAAAATTTTTTTTTGAGACAGTTTCACTATGTCGCCCTGCATAGAGTTACGTGGTGTCATGACTCATAGCAACCTCAAACTATAGGCTTAAGCGATTCTCCTGCCTCAGCCTCCCAAGTAGCTGGGACTACAGATGCCCGCCACAATGCCCGGCTATTTTTTGGTTGTACTTGTCATTGCTGTTTGGCAGACCTGGGGTTGGTCAAACTCACCACCTCCGATGTATGTGGCTGGAGCCCTAACCACTTGAGCTACCGGCACCAAGCCAGATCCTTTAAAATTTAAATCCCCGAATGGATTCCAGGACTTCATTGTTATATAATTGAGGTGTTTATTCAACTTATAGGTAATCATTCAATATTAATAGGGCCTTACCAATTGTAGGGAGCATAAAACTTGGTTTTAGTGATAAGATATATACTGTTGAATAGGTTTTTATTTTTTTCCTGAGACAGACTCGTCCTCTGTCACCCAGACTAGAGTACAACAGTGTCATTGTCATAGCTCACAGCAACCTCAAATTCCTGGGCTCAAGTGATCTTTCTTGCCTCAGCCTTCTGAGAGGCTGGGACTATAGGTACCTGCCAACACACTGAGCTAAATTTTTTTTTTTTTTTAGTAGAGACATCATCGGGCTGGCCTTGAGTAGCTTTTTATATATTTAACACTGTTAATGATGTGCTGAGTCCTACAAACCACCAGTTCCAGGCAGGCCTCTATGGAGTTGAATTCAGGCAGACCTATTGGTTGTCTTCGAATTTATTCTGTCACTACACAATTTTGAATGAGTTTGTTTAGATTTTCAAAATTTATTTTTTAATTTATAGGCAGTAAAAATTAGTGTTTTTACTTGGTCTTTTCTTAACTGTAGGTGTATCTCCAAGAGTTTAGAAAATATTACCCAATTTGCCTACCTAAAATAAATAACTTGTGATAATTCTACTTTTCATTTCTTATGCAAGTCCGTTATAAATAAGTTATGACAGTGAAGTTTAAATCCTAATAAAATGTGGCAAGTTAAATTTCTGTTAATTTTTGTTCATTCATATTTTATATAGAGGGTAGCATATAATTTTATGGAATCGTAAAATGGTTTAAAATCAGCTGTTGCTTTGAGGCAACTTTTTTTTTTTTAATTTCAGAATTCTGGAATTGAAAAGGCATTTCTGTTTGATGTGGTCAGTAAAATTTATATTGCGACTGATAGTACCCCAGTGGACATGCAAACCTATGAACTCTGCTGTGACATGATAGATGTAGTTATTGACATCTCTTGTATTTACGGGTAAGTAAAACATTCCTTAATTATTTATTTATTTTTTGAGACAGGATCTTGCTCTGTTGCCCAGGCTGGAGTACAGTGGCGCTAATGTAGTTAGTTCACTGTAACCTTGACCTCCTGGGGCCAAGTGATCATCCTAACTTCAGCCTTCTGAGTAGCTGGGACTACAGGTCACTATAGGCATGCACTACCTCACTAGCTAATTACTTCGTTATTTTTTTGTAGAGATAGGGCCTTGTTTTGTTTTGTTTTGTTTTGTTTTTTTGAGACAGAGCCTCAAGCTGTCCCCCTGGGTAGAGTGTCATGGCATTACAGCTCACAGCAACCTCCAAATCCTGGGCTCAAGCGAGTCTCCTGCCTCCGCCTCCCAAGTAGCTGGGACCACAGGCGCCTGCCTCGTCGCCCGGCCATTTTTTGGCTTCAGCCGTCATTGTTGTTTGGCGGGTCCGGGCTGGGGATT